TATTGGGACTCCTATTAAATTTAAGTGATGTCTTGTATTTGGAACAACTACATCAAATAGCTGCAGGCATGACAGTCATACTGGTGTAGTCCCCTCTGTTACGGCTAAAAAATTAGCTTCCTTGGTCGATCATTCTTCTTTCTTGTGGCCCTAAGATACCAAAAGTCAGTAACAGTAGGATAATGAAAATAGTTGAATGAGAGAATTTAAGAATATATTATTCTTGTAACTATGGCATACTTGAAGAGCTTGCAGAAGAGAATTCTCTATGAACTGGACTGATATAATATATTAGAATTTTGTTTGTTTATTTATTGCTTGACGTGGATTTTATCCATTTATTGATGGACGGTATAGCAAATAGGAATGCCAACAGGCAGGTATGCCATTTCCGTTCCCCGTCCTATTGAGTATTTGGTCACTTTGCCTCGTCTCCATATCCTGTTTAATGTGGGATCAGATGGGATGGTTCATTATTATTATTATTATATCTGTAGTTGGTGAAAATTATTACAATTTTTTCCCATTTAAGAACAACCATGTTCGCTTTGGAAAGGGTAATAATTCTTCTCTTTTTTTGCTCGATAAAAAAAATTAAATTTTAAATGAATTTTAAATGGGACGGATAGCGAGATGGGGACCATGTTTCCCGTACTCACCCCATCCTTGCTTCAGGATAATGAATCTTACCCCGTTTACCCAATTAGACGGGTAATTTTCATCCCATTTGGGGCGGGTGTCGAGTTGAATGATGGCCTCTACCCCAAATCCAAGGAATAGTATTGAAATGTTGACCTTTGAAAATGAAACAAAATCTCCATCACGTCGTATAATTGCTTTCCCAGGTCTTTTCCGATCACGGGAGCTCTTGGGGAGCAGCTTTACGTCAAGAATTGCTGCCATGATGACGAACAATATTTCTGATAATATTGCTTGCTTTCCTTATTCAACAAGCCTACGGTGTTTCTGGCCTTTATATATTATTTGACAAGTGTCACCTTGTTCTTTGAGATCATAACAATAATTCTATGACATGTGGCCTTTGTCCATTAGACTAGTTATTTTCACAAGATTTTTTTTAAATATCCTTTTGATGTGGCACTTCTCTCATGTTGTCAATATTTGTTTTCCTTTAAAGATACTCAACTGTCCCCTATAGCCTCGGTTGTTTTGGAATTGTTGAAGTCTGATTTGTTCCAAGTATCTAAGTTTGATTATGGGAGTTTGATATTTTTCTACGAATACAAAGGCTCGACTTTATGTTGTCAGAATTAGGGAGAAATGACATTAGAGCTTCCCCTGTGCAAAGTGACTACAACAAAGTATATTATGCTTTAATTCTGCAATGACACGTTTCCCATTTGCATAATTTATGATCATTTTCATATAGATGTACATATCGAAATTTTTTATGCAATCATAATATTTCCAATTTTGCCAATGTCGTTTGACAGTTCTTGTTGTGCATTTATGGCTTTATTGGCTAAAAGTTGTTTGAGTTGGCTACAAGATTTGAAAATCACCGTCAATACCTTGGTGTAGTGAGCTACATGTGGGACCAAATATTCCATGTCATTTTCTCCTCGGTCTTTTAGCCTAAGTGGGCCACAAAGGTTTTTAATTTAGGAGAAAATTAGACTATATACCTTAAAAAGCAAGTATAAAAGATTGTATCTTTTCATTAATTTTAAAACTAAACCTTAACATTTTCAGTACTTTCCTCTCTCTTCTAAGACAAAAAGTGACATACACTTTGAACTCCAAAAATTGGTTGATTAATTTAACTTATGTGAAAGGTAATGATACTCAAGTTTTTATATTGATGAGATTGAATCTCAATGACAACAATGCATTGCTTTTTTGCAAAAATTTAAAGCAATAATACTAAATTTTTATCATTATAGTAGTTGTATTCAAAGGGATGACATGATACTTTTTAACAATGTTATACATTGGTTCCTTAAAAAGTGACATGATGTCATATTTTTAACAAAGTCACACACACTTTGAACTTTGAAAATTTGTTGCCTAATTTTAGATTATGTGAAAGTACAAGAATAATTTTTTCATTCTTATATTCGCTATCCCCTTTCCAT